CTGCTTCCCATTTCATAATTTGATAAATGTGTTATTTATTTGTGCATTTAATATTTTATACTTGAAGAAGAATATTCATATGTTTGCTTGCATGCAAGGAACATGCTATGTCAGCTTGAAATCCCAGTTGGATATTATATTTAGTACAATATACCTTATAAAAAAGTAGATGTGCGGCTAATGCCATAGATTGGACGTCTATGAATATTCTTTATTTGACTTAGTATATAATTAGTATTTGAGATTCACATTAACGTTTTTCCTTGTATGTATCTGTTAACTTGATTTCTATTTTTTTATTATTTTTAAATTAGGCCTGTCCAGACATCATCACGGTGGGTTGAATGTTCACCAAAAAATGTATTTGCATCATGACTCCCTCCTTGTTCTACACATTACCCGGGATTTCATATTTTCTTATTTCATATATAATGTATATGTTCGTTTGGTGTTTTATTCAAACACGTTCTGTTTATTGAAGTAAATGTAAACTTTATTACTTGTATGTGGTTCTTCTCTGTTAGCCATACATTCACACAAGGCTTTTCAATGGCCCGTGTTAAATGATTAACCGTTGGGCCATCAGCGTAATTTGAGTACAAGTTCACCTTCTTACAGGATTTACATGTAGCAATGCGTCAGGCAAAATTACAATCATTGTGGGCTTAAACAATTGTTACAGAGCTGCATCTGTTAGACGCTCCCATCGAGCTACATGTATAAAACATTATATGGTGGACACTGATAGAGTTAAATTTTTATAAATCATAAAACACTTGAATTTAGCATTTAATAAATTTTAAACATGGCTAAAGAATTTAAGGTGTACGATGTTGTTGAAGGGATGGCAAACATGTAAGATATTCAAAATTCATTGAAAAGCCAAACATTTTTATAAAGGTGGGGGGGGGGGGGGGACTTTGCTACCTCACCAAAAACATTTAATAGGAAAAAATCAGAAGACAGGGTTATATTTTTTGGCCTTCGCCCCCCCGCCTTTCCCCAAACCCAAAGCGTATCCACCTTACAGTGTATTCCTAAAGGTTTGATAACATAATTTATCTTGCATGTAGGGAGCAGAAATATGCCACCATATAAAACAGTGACCGAGACTAATTTTCTACGTGGAAAGGTTCACTTCTAAAGGATCGGTGACCATTTTCACAAAAAAGTCTTAGAAGTAAGATGAAAAATCGTAAAATCTTTTGAAGTACATGTATTCATTTTTTCTATTATTTTTTTTTCGAACTTATTTTAACTAAGTACACGTAACTTAAAGTTATAGAAATCAATATAAGATTGGGACAATTTTCATCTTAGTCGTCAGATTTTTTTTAGAGAAGGGCCACAGACTTATAAGTTCGGAGTTTGATGTTTGTGGGTTTTTTTTTCCGTTTACTAACTAAAATTAAAGCTTGTCGATTTCCGTTCAATATTTTCAACATGACAAAGAAACTTCGCGGGCTTATAATTATAACTCCAGTTCAATACATTTTTCACGAGTTTTATGCATATTTATGTCTGTATTAGAGAGAATACGTAAAAGATATAAATGATTAAAAATTATAGATAGAAACTACGGTTCTTGTTCAAAGTTATTTGTGTTATTGCTGAAATACCGGTATTTATTAACGGTAAGGGAATTGGAAGCTGTCTGAAATCGATCTTATAGAAGGCATATCAGAACATTTAAACAAGAGGGGCAGGATTAAATCAGCTGCTGCAGTATCTTTTAGCTAGTGTTTATATATTAGCAGGTTTTTTTTATTCTGACCGGTGCCCGTGGCTTGAAAGGAAGTTTCAGGTAAGTAATACACATATTCAGTTTTCATGGTTTTCCATACATGTATGTATCACATGTTCGATGGCTGCTTGGAAATAATTGGGGCATTACGTGTATTACTTTCCTTTCTAATGTACTTTTTTTGTGATACATGTACATTTGATAGAAATATTTATTTATTAAATACTAACAATATTAAGAAATATTTTAGAAATACTATCATGATATAATATAAATGAGTCGATGTCCCGGTTGACAGAAAATACACACATAAAATTTACATAATAAAATCATTATCAACTAAACCTAAACTAAAGAAAATATTTACTAGTTGAAAACACTATAAGAAGAAAACTAGTAAATTTACTGTCCATACAATTACTACCATTTAAGTAGTTTTACTAGGTATTGGATAGATTTACTAGATAACATAAGTAAATCTAGAATATATAAGTAACTTTCACTATAGGTATCCAGGCATCGATCTAAGATACGACACTGTACAAGGTCTATAAATGTTGTATATCGTACACTATGAAGTACAATGTACACCTCCGCACATTTTTAAGAGGGCAGGGTGGTTGTTCCCATGTTCAGACTATTTTGACCTCCTTTAGAAGAAGAGCTCCATATAGATATATAAAGATGTTCAAATTTTAAAACTAAAATGTATGCAATTTTTCTTTGCTAAATGATAGTTGACAGTTTAAGATACCATATCTAAAAATTTCAGTTATATTTAATGGTTAATTTTTCGACACCCCTCCCCCCCCCCCCACCCCAAGCCTCCTTAAGCTCACGTGGTTTTTCGCACAAACTTAGATCACATTCTTCTCGCAATAAAATTAACATTATCGAATTCAGTACGACAACACAACCCTAAGTTGTATTACATATATCATACCATTGGTAAATTAAATGTACTTTAAAATTATTATCTCATGTTTTCAAAGTTTTCAAAGTGAATTTTTTTAAGGAGACTTTATCAATATATGGCACGGCGTAACAAAAATATTTTCCTACCGTATTTATTTACAAATTGAATTAAAGTTAACTGAGGTTTCTCTGACACTATTAAGTTGGAAGTTTTAAATTCAAAACTACTTAAAGGTGAGCATTTTTCTAAGTACTCTGCTCAGGTACCATATGCGTCTTTGTTTTGTCGAAATATAGCGTTAAAACGGGACATCGCAACAAAAAGAAACCATACCAAAAGCTAGGATAATGCAATCTTGTTTACTTTTTAAATAATAATAAGCTATAGTATGAAAGGGACATTTTTAAAATTTACGTTCTGAAACTTTAAAAATGTGCAGTGGGATGGATCTCTCATGATGCTAAATTTTAGAAAGTAACTCTGAAAAAATACCCGCTTTTAAACTCGGAAGCCAGTCGAACTGATGTGAAAGACTGTAATCATCTTGCGCTATAGAGTCAGAGTGTTTACGGTAGCTGTACTATCCCCGTGTCTATGTTTCAGCAAAAAAGCCACTGCTTTCAAAAGAATGGATAAAAAATACAACTGCAATTGGCAAGAAACCATTAAAAACCGTTTTTGAATTGTTATAATTTTTCAGCATAGAGTATTTCCAAATCCAACGATTCAATATGTGTAAATTATGTTTTTATTTAATAAAATAATATTTAATAATGTAAACAAACACTTTTAATATATATTTTGCTGCCTATCGGATTGTAATAATGTGACGTTTATTTATGCGAGAAACAATGTGAGCTAAAAAAAAGTGCGTGGAGCTGTATATACGTTTATTCAAGTAGAGAGAAAGCGAGACTAAATGACGTAAGAGAGAGTTATATATATTTCATTCATTTGTAGTTCCAATGAAGCAAAAGCATTTAAATGCAGATAGCTAAGTTGTTTCTTTTTTCACTTTTCCCCAAAAGCTCATTACAAGCAAGCCCTTTTATTGATAAACAAGTGCAAATTTCATAATGCAATCACCAAGAATAATTTCCCTGGAGAGAGAATGGTATGGAATCTCTGTATTCAATGGTCAATATGCATCTTTTTCACTTTTTGTAAAGTCCGCAGTTCTACCGCTCGCAAAACATTAATTGAAATAAAGCACAAAACTTATTGTACGAGTGAATCAAATTAAAACTGGGATGAGGCATGTTATTTGATTATTTGCCAAAAAAGGAATCTAGTTCACTAAATTATCTATTATTAATTAATCTCAAAATAATAGATGGAGCACTTGGCTTTTATGCCCCCTTCTGCTTCGATTCCAACGTGCATGTTTAATAATTATGATTACATGTATTTTAAATCGAGGAAAGCTTCTGACAAATTACGTGATGTTACAAATTTTTTAAATCCTGCTTAAAGTCAACTTCTAACGTTCGTTCTGGTTGCGTCGTATTTTTTCTGGCATGTTCATACAATTAGTATTGTCCTTATCTATATACCAAAAAATACAGGTCTCGGAACCTAGTATTACCACACTAAATCATATGTAAAGCTTAATATATAAACCCGGAGTGCCCGGTAAACAAGGGGACGCTGCCTACTCCTAGGCACCGGATCCAACCTCAAGTGTGGCGTTCTTCCCTAACATTATGACCATGCACATCAACCTACTTTTATTAAATTTTGATGAAATAGAAAAAAAAAACTTATTGTGTTAAATATTTAATATCGATCTAAATGTTTTTAGGTTCTGATTCTAATTTGTATTGTTTGGATGAACCTGTGAGCTTGGATTTGAGCTTGAATACTGCTTGTTATCTCCATCATTTCTAAACCGTTGGAGCCAAAGCTTTCATTTTTCACATGTCTATATACCTTTTGATCGGATCTTTATAAGTATTGTTGACTTGAGCATGGAGTATAGCTTGCAACTGAGAAATTTTAACTTTCTCTTTGAGCTGCTATAAGGTGAAGGAGGAATCAGTGAATCAAAATTAACCCATATTATTCATTCTGTTATTTCTCCTACATGTTTAGTTATTATCCTATCTTATGCTCTATTTGTTTAGTTTTATAGTAACATTATACTATGGTCAATTTTATGAGAGCATCTAAATTATCAGTTACTGTTTTATATGTCTTTAAACTTTTGGTACATTCGTCCTAATTTATCTTTTAAAAAATCAAATCAGGACACGACTTTAATTTACAATGATCTTTTGTTGATGTTTTTAATCAATTTAAATTGATTTACGTGTATCTAATTAGGTGCTCTTAAACAAAGCGCGCCATACTGACCCTGGTGTTTTAAAACAACACGGTAAGCGTTTTTTATATTTTGTTAGTTTTCGGTATTTCCTTCCTTAATTTTCTGTTATAAAGCTGAAAAATCACAATTTTTGCAGTACTCGAATTGTTCTTCTTTACAAATTGCAAGATGGGACAATGATAATGCAAAATAACTTATTAATGGCTATAAGAGCCGTGAAGGGATCCTTTCACAATTTGCCGATGCATTAAAAATATGGATATAACGAAAATTATTCAAGCTCAAAAGTCTATTTACGGACCTCAAAAGCATAAAACGGGTATCAGGTGCCATGGAGAAGCGATGTTTTTGATATACCAAACTATAGGCCTATACAATTTTTGCGAAAAACGCATAACCCAATGAACGATTTATGCACGATATAAGACTGGATAGCGAAGACACAAAACCCGATATAAAATGTTAATTTCTTCTTTGTTTTATATTCACTTACATCTTTGGAAAATAAATTATTTTCAGATCATTTGCAAATCATTAATTACATAAATAATTGAATGTATACTCAGTGGTAATATTTTTCTGTGAATAATTATTATTATTATTATATTATTATTATAACAGCACATTCTTTAAAAGATAAATGAAGAATAATTACTCATTTTTTTTCATTTTTTTTTCTGTATGTGGGGGGGGGGGGGGGGGTTATGTATTTTAAGAAACAAAGATTTGAATTACTTGAACAACGCATCACTTCCTTTCCAAAATTTAAAAAAAAATATTTGGGGCATGAAGTTTCGCTTTTATTAAATGACTTTGTTTAATCCTTTTATATAATAATACATGCACATGAACATCCTTGAAAGCAATGAACAGGCATTGCTGAAATCAAATTCCCAACACAGACTATTGGAGTGGATTTGATCATTTCTGACCTGTCTTGCAACGTAAATCATAAGCTAGACTGACTGCCTTTTTTTTTTAGAAATAGCAAAATTTCCAAAGGAAAATATTGGAAGACAAACTTAGAATTGGTAGACCAAAACATAAAACGGGTATATATATTTTTTAAAGTAATAATTTATTTTGATGTGATGTAGGATGAATATATAAATTTGTTGTATCATTAGCACAAATCCAATCTTTATACTAGGGAATAAGAAAAAGACCTTAATAAAAGCCATGAAAAAAACGAACCGGTTCTTTAAAACATTCTTTAAGGCTCAGAACATTTTTTTTAACTGATAAATCAAGTAGATCATTTAAAATCCAAATTTATCGAATCAGGATAATCGTTTCTTGCATTGTCCTCCATCGAAGCAAATCAACATTACATCTGCACTTTAAAATGACACAGAAATCTTTTTTTTTTTATGCTTCATGATCAAATGATATTCATGCAGCCCGCGTATTACTTGTTTGGTGGGTTTTTAACACCAGCATACCGCAAAAAAAGTCATTATTTTTAAGACATGTCAGTTTATTTATATAAAAATGTATTTCTTATCAGTTTTGGAATAAGGAAAGAAGTGTATTCAGATTGTTTTAATTAAATCAATTTGTATACTGTTTCCTAAAGTATTATAAGTACATGTGCGTGTAATCAGTGATATTCAGATCATTGGATCATCTTAAATCTGTGAAATCTGTTGTCTCAGAAAAACAGATGAACCATAGATGTCAAAATCTTGTCTTGAACAATAAAGATGTCTGTCCTTGGTCAACATGACATCATTAATTCAAAACCATCTTTTCCTTGATTGTCATGAGCGAATCCTTTGCTGAGATCTTCTGATAGAACTTCTGAAGTCTGGGCCCGTCAGAACAATATTTGATCATGCTTGCTATTGGCATTATCATTGCTTTGTTAAATTTCACAGGTTTTTATAAAATCCTTTAAAAGACAAAAATTAAGTCCAAGAGGAAAAAAAAAGGATAACATTTTAAAATACGTTCATGGTTTGGATAAAAGACGAGAAACGAAAAGTGTTGAATGTCAAGACAGGAAAAGAACATGGCGGCAAAGAACATCATGATGAGCTTCCAGTTGTACGAGGGGAACCGAACGGATGATAGTAAGCTCATGCATGCAAGTACTGATATATTATCTGGTGAAAGAAATTGCATAATACTAGTATAAAGCCTTATTAATATGGAGATGTGGTTTAATTCTACCATTTTGAACTATTTTAAAAGGAACTATTTTATAACTTTAACAATAACTCTCTCTCTCTATCTATCTCTCTCTCTCTCCTTCTAAATTTGAATGTTCATTCATAACTCCCACTTTTTAAAATAAGCTCATATTTTTCTTGTCTTCCTTCAAGGTGTATTGGAGGCCGTGAGGGCCATACCAAGCCTGTGTATGGATGGAGAGTTAAACTGCATGGAGAATAGTTCCTCCTCATTGGGTGGTTATGTTTTGCTGTCGACCAATCAGGAGGGAAGGTACGGGCATTTTTATCATAATAAACAGGAAGTCGGTGGAGATCCACCTGGGAATGAAAAAGAAAACCCGAAAATATAGTTAGGAGATTGTATTTTTAGATAAATGTAATAACATGTCACATGTCACATACATTTAGATGTATGAAATGCGCACGTTAAAGATAGTAGACTTTTCGAAAGCCAAACCAAATTTTTGAGTATTTTAATGAAACATCAAGAAAAAGGAAAAGTAATCAGCCTAAAAAATTAATTGGAACTGTTACATCATAAAACGGGGAAAGAAGTAGCAGGATCGTTTAAAACATCGGACTTCAGATCAGGTGCCATGAAAAAGTAAGCGTTCCCTGTCGACATATCACAAACGCCATGTGCTACGTGTTTTGATCGGGAAAAATGGAAAAAAAATCTTAGTCAATTCAACGTTTTAATAATTATGTTTTAATTGATCTAAAAACGTCAGTCAATATTTAATTTAGCGATAGGTTTATAAGCTTTAAAATCCATTAATGTCAGTCACACAAATGCAGAGACAAAACTTGGGTGTTGATATTGTTGAGAGAGAATTTTCACGCCAGTAGTATTTCTATTGTTTTTCATAGATTTGAAGTAAAACATACATAGAAATCTTTGATAGAAATAAAGATTGATTAATTTCCGATTTAGCCACGTGGTGGTTCATTGCTATGCCAATGGTTTAATAACAGTAGATGTTCAACATTTGATGTCAGAGAAAAGTTCAGACACCCTCCAAGATGAAATAAAGGTAAGATAAAAAGCTGTGTTTGGTATAACAGAGATAAATAGAATAACTGCCCATCTGCTATAAAAAATGCCAGGGCTATATAGCTATGAAATATACAGTGTTTTGATGCTGTTATGAAGATTAATGTACAATTTCATATTTGAATTACTTACCAAGTTACTTTGCTTTTGCTTTTGCTTTGCTTACATGACATTAGCAAAGAGTAATTTTGATTGTATATTTCATGTAATAAAAGTAAATTAGGTGGTACAGTTTATATATAGACGAGATCTGGTCGATTGGTTGCTTTCTCAAATTATGGCTGTTTAGTGCTAAATTAAATTGATAATGTAAATCAAATTGAATAATAAATTAAAATAAAATTAAATTGATAATGTTGATTTTCAGGCCGCAAAGAACTTGGAGATGAAGATCCGTGAGTCTCTTGGAGATCTCTGCTTGTACAGCAGATGGTAAATAATCAGTCTGTATAATAGTTTAATTGACAATTTGATATTCACTAACATGTATTAAGAGATTCGTACAGTAACTGCACAAGACAAGCAATAAATGATATATGTCGTTTATTTCTAACTAGAGCAAGCCTTAGTCAATGTATGAAAAACATGTGAAATTTCCACTAAATTTAATCGACAAATAGTATGCTACATGTATTTTTTTTTTTTTGTCAAACCTGTCCCGAAATATTTCCTTATATTACAAAGAGGGAGGGGGCACAATTCTAATATGTTATCAATAATCTCATTAATTTGTCAAAAATATGTCATCTGTCACCACCTTTACACATTTTAAAATAAACGTGACATTTATGAAACCAGTAAGTTTTTTTTAACTTTTAACAAGTATGAATTTAGTTAACTCATTTACTCATTGTAAAGTAATTAAAAAAATTTTTAAAAGCATGTTAATAGTAAGCTTATTGATTAATTGATCAGAAGTCATTACATGTACATATAAAGTAGTAAGAAAGCTAACTGATTTGTGTGTAAGTATGAATTCAGTAATCTAACAGTCGGCTCATTCATTGATTCAATGTCATGTAGAAAAAAACAAGTATGTATTACGTAAAATCATTGTACAGTAATCATTACAAGTATTACTTAGTACGTTCATTGAGTCATTCATTCTGTAAACGTCAAAGTAAATATCCTTAATCTATTTCAGTTTGCCTGGAGAAATAAAACGAGGAGAGCTAACACCATACTTTTCATCAGGAAGCGACACACTTTTTGAATACGAAAAGTTGAAGCTCGTGTTCGAGAAAGATTCCAAATGGCAGAACATCAAAATCTATCACAATCCCGGCGTTGGACATTTCCTTTGTTTGGATGATGATATAAGTGCGTAAAATAGGTGACAATCTTCATCAGTGTTCATGCCGCAAACGAATCATTATTTTTCCTTAAGTACATTAACTATTTCGTAATTTCAATAAAGACGCGCTCTTAAAAATAAAGGATATAAAAATTCTCTATTAAAAGGGAAAAGTATCAAGTCGCTATATTCTTTACATTACAAAGCTTTCTTACATCGACACACATACACAAAAAAACAAATTTATCGGGGTTCCAGCCAGTTCAAAAAGCTGTTCAAAAGCATTCAATTTGAAACTAAAGTGAAATTTTGCTTTATCAGATTATAATCAAAGCACTTTTGCTTTTCAGTGATCGGCGAAAGTGACCTTATTTACACGCAGACGTTACTAGGCATCGATCGCAATGATTTCCGCGATAAAACCGTTCTAATTCTAGGGGGTGGAGATGGGGGACTGTTGTATGAACTGCTGAAAGAGAACCCCAGACATGTGCTAATGGTGGAGGTATGTATCTTTATATATTTGTTAATTCTCATTTCCTTTTCCTAGCAAACATATAGAATAAGATTACAACGGATGAGTACTTACCAGTGCAATATAACATTGCAAAATAATGAGATAAAGAACAATTATCAAAGTCAAAAGTCCATTGAAACAATACAAATCGGGATAGGTAGGGAAAACACGGATCTTCCAACAACATCAGAAGTTGGATAACTGAGGTGGAGAAATAGGCATCCCCGTCGAACCGTAACACCCTCCGTGTGCTCCATCAAATAAAAATTTTGATAAAAATTATTTTTAAAAACAAAGAAAGAAAATGCAAAATAAATAATGAGTTAAGGCAATTCCACCATCCTATGATGTCATAGGTTTTTGAAAAATTGTAATTAGTCTTAATTCATACCTAATAGAACACTATCTTTAGGAAGAATACTTTACAAAATGTGTAATGATACATATTGTTAAATAAAAGAATTTATAAAATGCATATTTTCTTTATTTAATCAATTATTCAATCTTTAAAAAATGTTGACAAGGGCAATTACTCCTTTTAAGGTTTCTTCATCTAAGCATTTGCTTTATTGTACTTCTAATGTAAAATAGTTTCCCTAAAATTCACAATTCAAAGGTATCTTATAAGTAGGAAGTTTTTACGAACATTCAGCATCAGAATCATGCATTTAAACCAGTTTTTACATATTTTTCATAACACTGTTTACAAAAAATGTGCGTTTTTTTAATGTTGACATACACTTCTATTTATTTATGTTTTGCATCTTAAATAATATGGTGACTAATTTTTGCAATAATTGAAAAATTTATAGTATATTAAATGAAAATAAATGCAGTTTTTGTACTTTGAACCATTATAATTGTGAGGGTGGAAACATATACAATATAGAATATCTTACATCCTGTAAATGTGTTATGGTTCATTTTAAGCACACAGGAAAGAGTTATTGTAAGATGAGTAAAAGCTTCCAAAGATTAAAATTTCTTAAAGTCATAAGGTTTGGATATATTAATATTATATTTACTTATACCTATAGATTGATCAAGATGTTGTGCTGGCTTGTAGAAATCATATGCGCAAGATTTGTGAATCAGCAATCGATTCATTTGAAGGACCCAACTATAAGGTGATGCTTTAATTTTTCATATATAAACATATTTTGTTATCCCTTAAAATAGGATAGACTTAAAAACTTTTACATTTTCAATATGATTTAGCATATTGGTTGAAATCAAGCGTCATCGTCAGTAACAAAAATATTATTCAATATAATCTTTCTTATATAAAGCACATAAAAACTAGATATTTTTGAAAATAAAATGAACAAGTCCGTCCTGTAATAAAACTTACCTATTTTAGATTCAGTTTGAAGACTGTTTGAAAGTTCTTCAGGAATGTCAACAAGAGGGCCGGACGTTTGATTACGTCATCAACGACCTCAGCGAATATTTAATCAACGCAGACAATAGTAATATTGCAAAAACTTTCTATAAATAATACTTACTTCATTTGCTTTAGCCTTTTATTGTAAACATAATAAGAAGATTTTGTATAATTCGACAAGGTGGATTTTAACATTCACAATTTCTTGCCACATTTACTCTCGTATAAAATTAGTATGATTAAGTCGATATTTATTGTAGTTAACTCTTTAATTTCACTTGTGGAAAATGCCAGCTAGGCGCGATATTTAACAATCTTTTAATTTATTTTTTCAGCAAAGTTTGCCTATGATTTTGAAACAACGTGCATCATTCTAGAGCTATCCTTGAAGATCCTCAGTCGGCACGGAAAATACCTGTCTCGGGTACACTTTTTGATATTTTTTGTTAATTATGACAAATTTTTATAAACAAAATCATGTATAAAGTTTAAATTGTCAGCGCGTTGATGGGCATATTCGTTATTTATCTAATATACGTCTTTCGAAAGGATTTATCTCCAAAATAAAGAAATGCATATTTTTGTTAGAAAACTAGTTTTTTTTCAAATATTGCAAATTTTTAGTAAATTTCTTTTTATTTCTTTTAAGGGCAACACTGTAAGTGCCACTGAATTCCTTAGTAAGTATGAAGACGACATTAGACATCTAGGCATGCAGTTCCAAAAGTTTGAGGTGTATGTACCGTCATTCAAAGAGAAGTATCCTTTTTGTCTCAACATGTTTTGTGCAATGCATTTCAAAGACAAGGTTTGAGAGATTCTAGATTCTACAGAGCTTTCTTATAAAACATGACAAATGGTTTAAAAAGACACCTTTTTTGTAAATTCAATCAAATTTTCTTAAATAACACAAAATGAGTAAGAGTACTCCAAAACAAAATCTTAACATGATAATCTCAATAGCTGATGATACGTTCCTAAAATACTTGTTTTGTTCTTCTTCATTATATATCAAAACATGTTTATAATTTTCATGTCCTTTAGATTTTAAACTGCTTAAAACATGTATCCGAAATTGGCATTTCAAACAGAATGAAACAGGTTACACAACCTTCTGGTATCGTGCAAAAACGGTACTGTCTAGGAACCAAAAGTGTTCCTACTGTACCAATGAATTGCTTGGAAAAAATATTTTTGAAGAGCGTGTCGTCTGACCCTATGGTAACTCGCATATATAATGTTGACACTGCATCTTCTTGAAATATATTCTGATTTTCATTCAATGTTAATGAGAGCAACTTAACATGTGTACAACTGCAGAATACAATTGACGTTTGGTGGTCCTTAACTTTCACAAAGCTATTGTTTATACGAGGTTTGGAGAGTACAAGAATCGTGAAAGTTTTTGTAATAAAAAGGGAATTCATGACCATTAAAAAGTAGAAAGATGCTGCTTTTATCTTAATTTCATTGGCAGTTTATACTCAGTTATTTTGGCATTTTGAAGATACAAGATTAAGTATGGCCCTACAAAGGCTATATCAATAACAAATTCATCTTATTAACAGCAAAGCCATTATGTATCATATTACATGTAATTAAAAAGCATCAGTAGGAAGTAAAGATTTAAGTTAGTTCAAATACACCCCCGCCTCATCGGAATGAACCAACTTTTTCTCATTAAACTTCAATACTGAACTGATTTTTGTTTTTACCTAGTCAGTTGCTCAGGTGAGCTATGTGGCCCCTGGGCCTCTTGTTATGATAAGGCGCCAGCTGCCACTTTCATTAAGAAGGTCTCTTAGAGGCCTGCATTTCGTTTTGGGTTTGCCAGCATATTAAATCAGACTAGAAATTACTACTATTTTGACGAATACTCTTGCTCAGTAAAATGGACTTTTCATTGATTAGAATATTCTTAACTTATCTTGTTGAAGATCAGTATTTCATAGCAAAGGCTATACATAAATCACAAAGTAGTGTGTTAGATAAATATTTACATTGTTCTTTAAGTAATTTGAGCACAGGATGTTGAAAATCTTCTTTATGAAAATAACACACTTATATAGCAAAAACGAAGTTTTATTCCTTGATAAAGCCAGGAATTTATGAATACATTAGCCATCCAGCAAATGATGACCGCGAACGAGCGTCGCTGATAATTGATCCTATCATAAACTCATGCGTGCGTACGAATACATGGTCCCCAGCGTTTGCATGAGTGACGACCAACTCGCTCCCCGTTCCCCAATCACCAGTGTGTTGTGTGTGAGAAGATACGCATCCAATAGCTTTCCCATTTACAATTATTTCGACACTTGACCATGAATGTTCCCTTACTTTCAATGACCAATGAAATGCATAGATCCCCGTTACGGGCACAATGAAAACTCCATCGTGTTTACTGTATCCATTTCCTTCGTTTATTATCACTGTGTCGAAAATTAGGGTCGTGTGGACGGGTATATTAGGCTGGGAAAAGTAATTCATGTAGGCATAGAATGCAACATGCTGTGTAGCTGAAACTGATGTTGGATGAACTGAAATATATCAAAAAATTACAAACAATGTACCAGTAGTGTAATTTCAGAAAATGTTATTGTTAGTGCAGAATTTAATACTGTAGCTGTTGCAGAGAAAAAAAAACAAAACTCGCGTGAGGGGTCAGTAATTTCTTCTTATAATATCTTAAATATTTCTTGTACAAAGAAAATTACATATTATTGTTTATATTTATGTATGTACAAGTAATCATAAAATATAGGATTAAGTAGATAAATACATGTGTTATATCTCTGAAATTAATTATGTGTATTATTCGTTGATAGAGCAGGCGCTGGTCAAGTATAAATGCTAGAAATCTATACAGGTTGTTTGTTTAGCAACGTTTTCTGATTGATTAACAGAGTGGTTTTCACAAGGAATAAATTGCATTATATTAAGTAGATGTAAACATAATTAATTATTAATTTTGCACTATAATGATATATTTATAAAATTAAAATAACTGGTATACATACTGATTCTTGGCGAAACATTTTTGCTTCTCTTCATCAAGACTGTATCACTTATGTCACTTTCATTTTTCATTGTTTCATTCCGATTGGTCTCATTTATTTTACCGTTTGTCGTGCTTTTAACTTCATCAGAAAAACTTGGCTGATTTTCATAATTCAACACATTTGTATTAATTTTTCTTTCTAGGGCATCTAAGATCAATTTTAAAGCAACATTTTCCCGCTGAATATTTTTCAACAGTCCTTTAATTTCTTTAATTTCTCCTTTGAGGTTAGAGTTTTCATTCTTAAGTTCCTTGTTGGATTCTTCTAAATCCTGCAAGCGGTTTTCAATTCCTTCCATCCAGTTTTGATCAACGTTACCTTGGACATGGTGAACAGGTAAAAGAACGCACAAAATTAAGATGAGTCCCTTTGCTGTCATTTCCAAAAGGTTTCAATGTTCATGTCACGTTAGGAACAGGCAGTCCCTAACCGTTACATATAATGTGTGTTTAAGTACAGAGAAATGTAGATTTCAAAGATAAGAACAAATTGTGCTGTGTTTGTACAATATTTATGCGCACCTCAAGACCTTATCTTTTTGATATCTTTTAAGCGAGTGCACTTTCATGGCCGTAAGAAGCCCCCCCCCTTCCCAATTTCTGCCGATATATAATATACTATAGAACATGTATTTTTGGTAATTGTTAGTGCACTAAACTCAAAATATAAAATTATGTGTGTGCCCCCAAACGGAAATTGCTTCCTACGGGCCTGCTTTGTCAAACCCAGAATAATTTTGGCATTGTTTTTCCAATAATAACACTAAATAATAATTATTATGCTGGCTTTGTAACAATAAATTATTAATCCAATACCCGTTTGCAGACATATGATCTAATTGAAAATTTTCTTGAACATGAAGAAGTCTTTAACATGAGATATAATATTCTACTTCTGACATCGTTCTTAATTGATTTGTGCCTTTGTGAGAAACCTGAGTGGTTTTCAACGTTCAATACGTATACATATATTACAGCTGCAGTCTTAAATTTTATATCATTCAAATTTTGTGTCAATAAAATATTTTCTCGGTGATTTTTTGGAATAACTCTGCACTGTCCTTATTCTCCTCTCCAAAATTCGTGTTTTCATTCATAAAAACAATCTTACTCTGGAGTTTTTTTTTTAACATTGACGTTATTTTGAGCCATTTAATCATGCTTTAATTTATGATACCTTGTATTCTGTAGATTCCTTATTATTTAGAGTACTTTTTATTGCGAATGGGCAAATCGTGATAATACGAATTCGCGAATGGACGGTTGATCAAGAGTTTTAATACATATTTCTGCACCATAAAAATAAAGGCGAGTAAAATAATTTCTCGTTTGGTGATTTTCGCGAAATTACGCGATAAGTACATGTAATTCCACGCGTATATTTAGGAATCTACAGTATTGTGAACTAAAGAGAGGTACAGTACTCTAATAGAAAAAAAGAGATGTTTCTCCATTTTTACAACTCTTCTATCTGCATACCGAGGTAAAGACTGTATATAAATCTCAAAATGAAATACATGGAGATAACGAACAGCATTCAAACCCAAAGTCAAATAAAATACAAATCAAGAGCAGAGCAAACACGGACCTCTAAAACATCAGAGGTGGGATCTGGTGCCATGGAGAAGTGAGAATCCCCTGCATGCCCACCGGTCACAACTGCCAAGTGTTCATTGTCATGATCAGGAAATAACGGGGGAAAACTGGCTGACAATTTAGTGTGATAATAATGGCCATACGATTAGTATGGAAAACGCCAGTCAGCATTTGACTTTATATAATCGATTGAATTTGCTTACAAGGTCATTGTTTCGAGCATAGAAGTTACAAAATGATGACTTTAAACGAAACTGCTTATATTCTTGTTTCATCAACTTGTTTGTCAATAACTTACTTTGTTTTGGGAATTGTTAATACGTAGAGCATGCTCTTGCGTATTAAATCAACTGAGAGGTATAAGTGCTCCATAAGTACGGGAAGTTGACGATTGAAAAGTTAAAGTCATCACGTTTATCATAAAGCTTTGTTTTAAGATTACAATCAAAGTATTTTTCTTTAAAAAATTCCAAATACTAAACGTATTTGTTAAACTCTGTGGTATCTTTTATTTCACGCTCATTGAGGTCTATCGATATAAGGATGGGAATAACCATTGATAATGGACAAAATGTCGTGGATATATCTTCATGTAGAGTTGAACGCAACAGCAAGTGTTTCCTTCTTTTCAAGTTTAATAGGTTCGAATCCCACTGTGGGACGTCGAGACCGGTCCTTCGGACGAGACCGTATAAACCGAGGTCACGAAAAAGATCCCTCCCTGCTCAATGACCCTAAGTGCCGAGTATAGGACAAAATTTGCATCTCTCCGCTGGCAAGTGTTTGCGTCTCCATTTGTGTGAAAAGTTCTCGAGAGGGACGTTAAGCAATATACAATTAATCATTTCAAAAGCTACAACCTTTAGATTTGAGTTATTTCTTTTAATAGCAACTCTATAACAGTTTCTAGATTCTGCATAAGTTTGAAGAAGATATCAGAGACATCAAGTTTGAAGTATATCATTCAAGCCTGACTTAGGGCCATTGAGCAGGGAGGAATCTTTAATTTTCGTGCCAGCAACTTCTGCGACACGAAACCTCGGTTTATACGGCCTCATCCGAATTGCCGGTCTTGACGTCCCACATTGGGATTCGAACCCTCGATTTAAGGATCAACTGCTTACTTTGCGCCTCTTGAGCAGACGCTCTAGCCACTAATCACGCGGGCGACTTTTTAGTTAGACTATTTTCGTACAATTTTGTTTAAGATCATTTTTTAACCAAATAAAAAATAATAAGCTTTATCTGAAAATAGTCGTTCAAAAAATTAAGCTTTACATTGCTTCCTTATTTAATCGACCGCTTCGTCCCAAAGATCTTTTAAGAAATGAAATATTTATATAGCAATTATCAAAATCTTTTATTCCTTGATATATTCAGCAAATTATGAAATCAATGTAAAAGCCATCCAGAAAATGATGAGCGCGCACGATTGTTACTGAAAAAAGATCCACGTACAGCCTCCTGTGTGCGCAGGAATACATGATCGCCTGCATTAGCGTGAGTGACGACCAACTCACTTCCGGTGCCGTAGTCTTCAATCCGCAGTGTGTCAGAAGATGCACATCCAATGGAACGTCCATTTACAATTATTTCGACACTTGCCCATGAAAATGTTTTTACTTTCAATGACCAATGAAATGCATAGATCCCCGTTACGGGCACAATGAAAACTCCATCGTGTTTACTATATCCATTCCCTTCGTTTATGATCACCGTGTCGAACGTAAGGGTCACGTGGGCGGTGATATTAGACTGCAAAAAGTAATTCATGTAGGCATAGAATGCCACAGGTTGTGAAGCCGAAAACGATGTTGGAGGAACTGAAATATGTTTCAAAAATATCATACATGTACTATATTTTCTTAAAATGTTAAATGTGCTATTATAAATTTTAAAATAATGAATTTGTTGAACGCTAGTTTATTTATATATTTTTTTCTTTTTTCGATTTTAATGCTTATAATTTTTGCTAAAAATATCGTGTACGCATGAATAAAATTAAAATTACCAGAATACATACTGATTCTAGGCACAACATTTTTGATTGTTTCGACCAAGACTGTATCACTTCTGTCATTTTTAATTGTCATTGTCCCATTCCAATTGGTTTCATTTATTCTACCGTTTATCGTGCTTTGAGCTTTGCCCGGAGAACGTGCTTGACCTCCGACATTCAAAACATCCGTATCAATAGTTCTTTTTAGGTCAATCAAATTCAACTTTAAAGCAATATTTTCCCATTGAATTTTTGTCAGCAGTCCTTTAATGTCTTTTATTTCTCCTTTGAGATTGGAGTTTTCATTCTTTAGTTCCTTGTTGGATTTTTCTAAATCCTGCAAACGTTTTTCTATTCCTTCCATCCAGTTTTGGTCAACTCTACCTTAGACATGTAGAAATGGTAAAATAACACACAGAATGAAGATGAGTCCCTGTGCTGTCATTTTCACTAGCTTTAATCTTCGTGTCAAGTAAGGAACTGTATAAACAGTCAGTCCCTTACTGTTACATATAATGTATGTTTATGTACAGAGAAATGTAGATTTCAAAGATAAGGACGATTTGTGCCGCATTTGTGCAATATAATTGCATACCTCAAGACCTTTTCTTTTAGATATTTATTTGAGGCGAGTATTCGTTTATAAAAACGAAGTCTATTTCTTTTTATAACAATTAAGTTAATTTCAGCTTTTTAATCATGCTCTGATTTGTGATAACATATACATTTTGAACTTATAAAACAGGGAAAAAAGTCTTTTCATTTTGAGAGCTCTTTTGTCTACATTCAAAGGTAAGGACTGTATATATAAGTCTTACAAAGAAATTTATGGAGATGATTAATATACAGTATTCAAGCTAAAAATAAACCAATGAAACAATACAAACGAGGAGTAGAAAAAACACGAACCCCTGAAACACTAGAGCTAGGTGGGACCACGTGCCATGGAGGAGTGAGCATCCCCTGCCGAACGGTCACACCGTCTTGTGCCCCTTGTTATGATCGGGAAATAGCGGAAAAAATGGTCTAGAAATCAGTATGAAAATAGCAGTAAGCATTTGACTAAATGTTATATTGAATTAATTGACAAGGTCATACTGACATAGTGTCGGTCATAGAACTTACGAAATGGTAACTTTAAATGAGTCTGTTGATATTCGTGTTTCATAAACTTGTTTAAGGAATCACTGTCTAGTTTTGAGGGTATGCCAGGGCATCAACACTAGTGGGAAACGGGATAATTTGCATAACGGGCGAAGCCCGTTATGCTAAAATTATCCCATGTTTCCCACTAGTGTTGATGTCCCTGGCATACCCTCAAAACTAGACAGTGATTCCTTATATTTTCATTTTTTATTTGTTTTTGTAATCGTCCAGTGTTCGTAGATTTGAAATATACAAGGCATCCATCATGTTTTATATTGGCCGACCTGTGACGTCAAATTTTACTTTAAAAAAATAGTCCCATAAAACACGAAACAAATTAAATGTTTTTTTTTAATTACTGTATTCAAATATTGACATTTATGAAATAAGCAACAATAGAATTTAAATCGTGAACAAAGTAATCTTGTTAATTGTCATGATAAATATGTGACCTAGATAATATATAGATTTAGCGGAAGCATAAACACGTGTAAGCTACTTGTCCGCCGCCATGTTGAAAGTCAGAGTACAGTTGATAAAACGGGAGCTGGTCAGGAAACCGGTCTGCGTTGATGATAGAAAAGAGGAGGAGGTTGAGTTGTCAGAATTAAATGACTGAGTGACGATGGCAGATGATGGCGTGGCTATAGCGATTTGTCGGTCGGAATTAAAGGACTGAGGGACGATGTCGGATGACGCTTTGGCGATTTGTTGACATGATTCAGTGTTGACGGAAGTGGAGTTCTCATTCTCGACCTCGGTGATGGTTGATAACGTTGCACTGGCAACTTGCTTTTGATCCGAGGATAGCTCCCTGCAATAACTCCGGATTGAAGCCTCATTCCTATGACCGGACATGTACATGATGTGACGCGCCTCAAACCCAGCATCATTCATGGTTTGGATTGCTGTTGCTCGGAGGCTGTGTGCTGTGTAGCGTTGACATCCTGCCATTTTGCAAATATCAGGTAAGAAATTTACAAACGCTTTCTGGGATAGTGAGTGAGTGTTGTACCAAAGTTCTTGATCGGGATTCGAGATTGCCTCTCTCACACATTTGTTAAACAGATTTGTAGCAGTAATCGGAGTCTTTGATAGGAAGAACTTCAACATTTGAACTGGGCAAATTTTTGATTGTGTTTCGTACATTCGTTTGTCAGCCATCATCTCATGTTTGTCTAGTCCACCTTGGTAGTTTTTCTGCTTTGTTTCGTGAGTGAGACAGACATAGGTCAAGCCATTTTCGTCGGTCTTGAATTCGAACGAGTCCCTTTTAAGTTGGTGGTGAAACTCAAGTCCACGCGATACAAAGTGAATTGCTATGGTATACCACATTGCCAAGCGTAGATTTATTGGTGAGGAATATGCAGTCTCTAGAAAGGATGAGATTTTTTGGAGATCAGGTTTGGGAATTATTTCCTTGTGTTTTGTGGGGCGAGATGTTCCCTCTGTCATCCTTTGTTTTAGGAGGCCAGTCAAACATTTGTTTGCCATTTTGAAAGTTTTATCATTGACAATATCAATATCCCTTCTCAGGTCTGATAACCGACGGTTGATTGCTGCACGAATGCCTTTCAAAGTATTTTTATGGTACTCTTCATTTGGTGTTTTGGCTTTGCTAGGTCTAGCTTCACAGTAGAACCGTTCAAGTTTAGAGGCTAATTCTTCAGCGCTTACTGATGAAAGGTCAATGTTGTCATTGAAAGTTTCCAAATGCCAATCTACAATACATGTACATGCACTATGTTACTCGTTAACTTTTATTGTTTAATTTTTCTATATTTTTTATCATACTTTTTGTATATTTATTATTTTATTTTCTTATTATTTGTTTTATTTTAATTTTTAAAAAATTAAATTGATTTTTTATCTGTGATCCTTTTTTTTTACATGTATATCTATTTATACTATAATCTGCACATGTATTATGTTTATAAATTTGTATTCAAGAATCTGCAGAATAAATAACTTACCATCTAAAAGTTTGATGCCCCATTGGGTGTGTTTTTTGGTGTTTTTGGATTGAGTCATTTCTTGATAAGTTTTTATCTGCTTCTCTGTAACTTTTCTAAATCTATAACTTGTACTTGGCGTTTCAGGGGGAGGCAAACCAGGATCTGCAGGCTGCTGAAGATCCATTTGAAGTGGAGTTTGCGATAGATGTGGTATCAGGTCCGATGCAGTAATTGAAGCAAGAAGAGAGTCATCATCATCATGAAAGGGATCCATACCAGCTACATCATGGTCAGAGGGCTCCGGTTTCAGTTCAATTGGAACTAGCTCAGATTTGTTACCAGATATAAGTGAAAGCAATAACTCCGCATCTTCATTGGTTAACTCTGGTCGATCAGTTACTGGGGGAAAAACACTAAATTTTCCGTAGGACTTGTCAGGCTCCATGCTCATTGACTGTGTTTTTGGAAATGATGGGGAGTTGCAGAAGACTGTGTGATTTTAGCAGACGTTCAACAGAATTACTTTATGTATTTGAATAAAACCAGTAATCTACTTAAAGTTCAACAAATTTTTCTATAATTCATTTTTTATAATATTTTGTAAAAAGAAATATTATATCTTATTACTTTGTAAACACATTAAACAAAACACTATATTTTTGTTCAGTGTATTCATACGCAAGTGATATACATGCAGGTTGACACTTGACCTTTCAGTAATACAGAAATATACATACCACAGGGTATTATGATGAAATTAACAAGAAACACTTTTGTAGTGTTTATCATAGGGAAAACAATTGGAAATGGAAATATTTGTCAATATAACTTCGTTTTAGACATTTTTCATACGTCAAGCATGATTTACAAATCGAATCACCTGAGATATTAACCCCGTATGCAAGTTATAACAGTATATTACTAATAAGTAAGGAAAGAGTTAATGTCATCCCGTATATCATAAAGCTTTGTTGTACATGTTTTATTACCAGTAATGACTTTTTCTAGTAAAAGATCTAAATATGAAAAAGATGCGTCAGACTTTGTGATATCTTTCATTTCAAACTTATCGAGATCTTTCCTGTCGACGTAAGCATGGAAATAACATTGTTAATTGACAATACGTCGTCTATATATCCAAATGTCGAGTTGAAGGCCATGGTAAGTGTTTTCTACTTTTCAAGTATTATATTTTGAACATCTGTCTCAAATGAATACAAAATATCTCTGCTAGCTACCTGTTTGTCCCACCAATACATTTTTTTGGCATTACAAAACATAGATAGGTTCAGAATGAGATCATGACAAATCATGCTCATATGAAGACCTACATTATAATTATGTTCCCCAAACGAAGTTGGGGAACATATTGTTTTTACTCTGTTTCTTATTATTATTATTATTTTTCTTCTTCTTCTTCTTCTTCTTCCTGGGTACTTTTTTGTCCGGGACTGATCTCGTAAACTATACATCCGACTAAGGTGAGATGTTTTTAGGGTCAGTAGACATGTTATGTAGATTTGCGGAACGAAGGTCATTTTGCGCGCACGTGCTTGCAAGAGCGTGCACGTGCAACATGTGAAATGACCGATTTAATTGATATAGGCGTAACTTTTTAAATTTTTGATGAAATGCTTTGAAACTTATAACATTAGGATATATTAGTAACATAGACAAGATGACATGGTCAAAATAGCAAGATCTCACGCGCATGCACGTGCGCTTTGCTCTGATTGGCTGAAACTAAAGTCTCAATATCTTTCTTGTTTTTCAACGAAATCCTTTGACATTTTGAAAATAGCCATGCATTAGAATCCTACAACATGATATATAGCAATTATCGTGAAAACACGTGCATGCACGTGCACTGCAATCTGATTGGCTTAAACTTTAAATAGCTATAACTCCTTTGATTTTCAACAAAATAGGATGGTATTTGGAACATAGATAGATATACTGGTCTACTACAAGAAAATATGGTCACCATGCATATGCATACACGTGCATGTACGTGCGCTGCAATCTGATTGGCTGAAACTTTAAACAGCTATAACTCCTTTGGTTTTCAACAAAACGGGGTGGGGTTTAGAACATAGATAGATGTAATAGACTTCTACAAGAAGGTATGGTCACCATGCTCATGTATGCACGTGCATGCACGTGAAATGGGTAAAATAAAAAATACACTTGAATGAGCGTTGTTTTTTTTTTTTATACTTTTGGATTAAATACTTTAATACATGCATTTAGAATATCAAAATATATAGATTGTGTAGACAAGATGATATGGTCATTACGCACATGCATTCACATGCGCACGAGTGCAATGCTAAA